TGGGGGGGGGAGGGGAGGGAGGAACAGAGAGAGAGACACAGAGAGAGAGAGAGAGAGAGAGAGAGAGAGAGAGAGAGAGAGAGAGAGAGAGAGAGAGAGAGAGAAGGGAAGAGAACAAATGAGAGCGGAAGAGAGCGTAAGACACTGAACGAGTGAATAAGACACAGGAGAGAGAGAACACGAACCGGCAGCTCCGGTGACAAGTACGCGAACAGGCTCAGCCATGGTGATGGAGATCGATGAGGCAGCCGTGATGCAATGGAGCACGAAGACGGCGGAGATACTCTTCTAACTCTGGGGCGCGATTACGATCGAATTACCTCCGCCGTTTTGTGACAACGCGAACGCCAGTGCCTTTTGTAACGTCCGCGGCGAACTAGGAGGACCCAGCACGTGCTCGCCCTGGCACTGCGACAATGGTCCCGATACATTCACAGTTTTCACAGTTTTCGTTTTTCTTTTTTTTATTATTTTTTTTATGGGCCGAGCCACGCTTCGCTGCAGTGCAAGACGAAGGCAACGCTGGAAGGGTCGAGTAGGCAAGCCTACCCCTATGACCCCTCCGTAGCCCTGAATAATTAATTTAATATCATGTGGCCCGATGGACCACGGATCAGATATTAAACTGATCAGAACCGGCATTACACTTGATCTTTAGCCAAAAGGCCGAGAAAGGTGTTTTCACAGTTTTCACAGTTCGCAGCCGGTAGGGGCTGCGCCCTTGTCTTTCTCGTTTTGTGTAGTGCACTCAGGTGGTCGCAGGGTACGTACCGGTAGGCGGGGCGTTCAATGGTAGTTGGGAAGATAGGACCATTAAGGTGAGAGGGGTCAAAGTGGGTGGCGGATCCGTCCGCGACCTTAGCTTGTGGATGGCACCCTGAATTTCAACGCAAGGCTATCACACATTCCCACCAAAGATGTAGCCCATCTTCCAATGATGGGTGGGGACAAACCTGACAAGTCGTTACAATCTCCATTCCTTTTTCAGAACACCACATTGCAGTTGGAACACAAGCATGTAGATGAAGTCACTGTAAGCCTCCTACTTTAGTTTCTAAAGTTGAGATGATAAGGTGGATAAAGAAGGTTAGCCATTTCGTTGAGAGAGGGGGCAGCTTCAAAGAGGATATCTTATGCTGCCAGTCCCGCCTGCAAGGATTGTGACTGCGAGTGGAGAGTGTATTCATTCTTGGCAGAGTACTGTGAGATCGGAATCTTGGTATGAGTCCCTTTGGCATCTGATAGGGTCCAGCCATACCTGCAGACATTAACTTTCCAGTCTTTGGGCGGGATCGACTGTARCACTACCTGGAAGGAGGCAATCCCGCCTCGACCSTTCTTCTGTTGCACAATAACTTCTTCCATATCTGTCAGGTTTKTTCTTTGTGAATCCTTGGATTGTTCTGGTCTGGACTCCTTCAGAGTCTATTCTGAAGCTTTGACCGTGCCATAATCATTAACCTTCTCCACTCTGAGGTAAGTATTCGGTGATGAGTGCGTCTTGAACCATTGGACCTTGAATGTATTACTCCGTCTGGAGAGCGTGACTATCCACTCAGGGGGGATTGCCTATATGATGGYTGCAAGATRTTCTTCTGTTCTGTGGAGACCCGTGAGGAGGGGTCGTAGTCTYGTAGATCCGTTGCTGATTTCCAACTATTGAGTTTTGTGTCCCAGATATGACTATTACCAAAACTAGTAATGATAACAGTGTGCACAGCGAACAACCTAACAACAAACAACAGTAACAATAGCTGTGTACACAACAATAGGAACGCAAAATAGGTCCACCTATGGGACTTTGTAGTGAAACGTCTGTACCTAGCACYTGAAGTACCTGGGCGACAAGGCTCGCACAAAATATGCTTCGATCAGGGCTGAGTGGGGTGTGGGGGACTCAGCTTAGCCCTGGTACCTACAACCACTGTTTGGTCAGGTCACCCCCAAGGCTGGAGGGTGACGATCCTGAGTGGTAGACAGGTAGTTCTATAAGATTAGGGGGCCTCTACCACATGGCCAAGTGCGGAAGGTGACTCTCATATGTCTGTAATCCARCCTCTACAACAACCTGGGCTTTTTTAATTAAAAAACAAAAAACAAAAAAAAAACGAACTAGCCAGACCCCCCTCTGCATCCATTTGAGGCCAAAGTGACCCGGGGCCTTGGCTACTGAGAAGGGGAGTCCARGGATTGTATTTTCTATTCTACCGGAAGATTCGTTCTTCTCATTTGGCACATTCGGTGAGTGTTCCGGYGATGCCCCACATGCATTTTGGAAGGTTGTCCCTCGCTCCACTACAGAAACACTCTACAATGTCTACATGCATTTGGGCGATTTCCTCAGCAGATGGTGAACCCGTTCAAATGGACCTGGTGCAGAGAGCATCCAAATGCATGTAGAGTGTTGTGTAATGGAGCGANAGGACTTCCAAGTTCCAGGGACAGAAAGCCAAGCAAAAGAGAAACCGACGCAGCAGAACTATAACCAAAGAGAACAGTAACAAAAAAGTGACACGTAAGGACTTCCAGGACTTCCAAGTTCCAGGGACAGAAAGCCAAGCAAAAGAGAAACCGACGCAGCAGAACTATAACCAAAGAGAACGGTACCACCGGACAGCGAAAACGAGCCGCCAACGACCCGCGCAGAGTTCTCTGAGGAAAGAGATCTGTTGCATTAGAGCATACTCACACTAGGACTGCTTTTACTTATTTATGGACGTGATTGCGGTCAGATGCATTCGGGCCTGTCCGTAAACGCGGTCAAATACATTTTCGTTCGAGATCCTGTGTGCACCCCCTTCGAGAGAAGAAAGGAGAAAAAAACGAGAAATGCGGTCATATACATTTAAGGCAGAAACAACTGAAACGAGAAATGCTGTCAAACACATTTTGAGAATCATCACGCACTAATCGAGAAATGGTCCAATTAAAAGAGAAAAAAACACCTTCCTCTATAGATCAACCATCACGAATTTGAGGATGAATGCGTACGATTTCGAGAACGTTTCCCTTGTAGGCTCGTACCATAAATTCCGTAAATTGCCCACCCCAGCACCCAGACAAACACAAAGTAGGCAAACAGAACGGTGAGGAAAGAGACGAGAGGAACACACATCTTTTTGACTCGAATCAACAGAGAACCAGAGAGCAAAAGGGAGAGTTGGGGGGGGGAGGGGAGGGAGGAACAGAGAGAGASACACMGAGAGAGAGAGAGAGAGAGAGAGAGAGAGAGAGAGAGAGAGAGAGAGAGAGAGAGAGAGAGAGAAGGGRAGAGAAMAAAWGAGAGCGGRAGAGAGMGWRAGACACWGARMGAGWGAAWAAGACACAGGAGAGAGAGAACACGAACCGGCAGCTCCGGTGACAAGTACGCGAACAGGCTCAGCCATGGTGATGGAGATCGATGAGGCAGCCGTGATGCAATGGAGCACGAAGACGGCGGAGATACTCTTCTAACTCTGGGGCGCGATTACGATCGAATTACCTCCGCCGTTTTGTGACAACGCGAACGCCAGTGCCTTTTGTAACGTCCGCGGCGAACTAGGAGGACCCAGCACGTGCTCGCCCTGGCACTGCGACAATGGTCCCGATACATTCACAGTTTTCACAGTTTTCGTTTTTCTTTTTTTTATTATTTTTTTTATGGGCCGAGCCACGCTTCGCTGCAGTGCAAGACGAAGGCAACGCTGGAAGGGTCGAGTAGGCAAGCCTACCCCTATGACCCCTCCGTAGCCCTGAATAATTAATTTAATATCATGTGGCCCGATGGACCACGGATCAGATATTAAACTGATCAGAACCGGCATTACACTTGATCTTTAGCCAAAAGGCCGAGAAAGGTGTTTTCACAGTTTTCACAGTTCGCAGCCGGTAGGGGCTGCGCCCTTGTCTTTCTCGTTTTGTGTAGTGCACTCAGGTGGTCGCAGGGTACGTACCGGTAGGCGGGGCGTTCAATGGTAGTTGGGAAGATAGGACCATTAAGGTGAGAGGGGTCAAAGTGGGTGGCGGATCCGTCCGCGACCTTAGCTTGTGGATGGCACCCTGAATTTCAACGCAAGGCTATCACACATTCCCACCAAAGATGTAGCCCATCTTCCAATGATGGGTGGGGACAAACCTGACAAGTCGTTACAATCTCCATTCCTTTTTCAGAACACCACATTGCAGTTGGAACACAAGCATGTAGATGAAGTCACTGTAAGCCTCCTACTTTAGTTTCTAAAGTTGAG